GGGCGCTCGGATGGCAGGACGGTGGGGTGGTCGAATGGCATGATGGTCGGTTGGTCTGGTGGCAGGCAGGCAGGAAGGTTGGATGGTCGGGTGTTCGAATGACAGGACTGCATGATGGTCGGGCGCTCGGATGGCAGGACGGTGGGGTGGTCGNGTGGCAGGCAGGCAGGAAGGTTGGATGGTCGGGTGTTCGAATGACAGGACTGCATGATGGTCGGGCGCTCGGATGGCAGGACGGTGGGGTGGTCGGATGGCAGGACGGTCGGTTGGTCGGGATGGCAGGATGGCACGACGGTCGGGTGGAGCGGTGAAGCTCGACCATCGTATGGTGGGGTGTCGCGTTGAAGCCCGACCATCGGATGGGAGGATGGCAGGATAGGAGGATGGGAGGATGGGAGGATGGGAGGATGGGAGGATGGGAGGATGGTCGGGTGGTGGGATGGTTGGATGGGAGGATGGCAGGATGGCGGAATGGCAAGATCGGAGGATGCTCGGGCGGCTGGATGGCAGGATGGCAGGGTTGCAGGATGGCAGGGTTGCAGGATGGCAGGATGGTGCGACAGTCAGGTGGACTAATGAAGCTCGACCATCGTATGGTGGGGTATCGTGTTGAAGCCCGACCATCGGATGGGAGGATGGAAGGATGGTTAGGTGGTGGGATGGGAGGATGGGAGGATGGGAGGATGGCAAGATGGCAGAATGGCGGAATGGCAAGATGGGAGGATGGTCGGGCGGCAGGATGGCAAGATGGCAGGGTTGCAGGATGGCAGGATGGCAGGACGGTCGGGTCGAGCGGTGAAGCTCGACCATCGTACGATGGGGTGTCGCGTTGAAGCCCGAGCATCGGATGGTGGGGTGTCGCGTTGAAGCCCCGCCATCGATGGTAGGGTGCCGCGTTGAAGCCCGACCATCCGATGGCGCGGTGCAACGACAGGGTGATGGCGAGATGGTCAAATGGGTGTACGGTCAGACGTCTGAAGGTACAGGGTTCAGGTTAGGCTGGTCAGGTGGCACGATGGTTGGACAGTCCGATGGTCGGACGTTCGGATTGTGAAATTGTTGGAAGGCGGGATGGTCGGATTGTACAATTGCTACAAGGCGGGATGGTCGGGTGGTCGGGTGGCAGGATGGTCAGCTGCCCGGCTGGTCGGATGGTCGGGTGGTGGGATGGGAGGATGGGAGGATGGGAGGATGGCAGAATGACGAAATGGCAAGATGGGAGGATGGTCGGGCGGCAGGATGACAGGATGGTAGGGTTGCAGGCAGCAGGATGGCAGGATGGTAGGGTTAGGTAGGCAGCTGTTGTTCCGCAGCTAGACCGGGGGGTGGTCGTGTGCCAGAGCGAGATAATCGAGTGGCCCAATGTCGTGCCAGACACTGGCCATCAAATGGGGGGGGGGGGGCATCGTGCGGACGCTGGATCATTAGATGGTCGGACGTGGTGGCTGCGGTTGACCGTTAGACGAGCGGGTGTCATACCAAAGCAGGAACATAACATACCAGGGACTTGTGCCAACTACGGATATGATTGCCGCTTTCCTACTCCTTCCGTGCTTTCATTTATAACTGCCTTGCATAAACTATGCACACTCCAGCCCGCCACAGTGAGAAAGGGAGTTGTCCTCATGGCTCACAACCATCGGTTCAATATCCGAAGAAATTTGCGACACCTCAACCAATCTCCAGCAACGAGAGCAGATCCCCTTCACTATACGGGGGAAGTTGCAAGCGCAGGTCATCGACGCTTTTTTTGCGAAGTCCGCGTAGAAAGCCACAACTTTCCCGAGGGTGTGTTCCCACATCCGACAACGTAGTTCAACGATTGAACCTCGACAACATTATTAAAGAGATTCATCAAACCCGTGCTACTCCGCCTTCGGCTGGCCTGAGCGCAGAATGCACACTGCATACCATCGACAAGTGTGATGTTGGTCGTGACGACGATGGTCACATGAACGATAAAACACGACAAGAACCCGTGTCCGATGCACATACTGTTCCTGTGCATGACAATAAGAATACTGCCATGGGGAGGGGAAGCGAGTCGGTGTCCTTGTTGACCGATTTGGGGTTAGAGAGAGGCAAACAAACATGCACATATCGAAAGCAGAAGAGAAGGAGTGGCTCATTGGAAGAATCAATGATTGAGAAATGCACCATGGAGGAATGTCGTGCAGTGATAAATAAAAAGTGTTGTGCAAAACTGCAGTCTTGTTCAAAGATGACAGTAGAGGAGGTGTATAGGGCGAAAATGAGATATACATCACTGGCTCCAGAGGAGAGGCGGAAATGGTGGATAAAACAATTGGACAGTTTCACGTGTATTGAAGATCGGAAGAAGGTTGTGAAACCAGTTGTAGAAAAGCACAGGGTATGCGTCCAGGCGTGGTGTTACATAATCGGTTTCTCGAGGAACACTTACGCATTCTACAAGGAATTGCATGGAGAGGGCAGGGTGTTGCCTCTTCATGGTAGAAAAGGACATTCCACAACATCCGTGACTCATGCTATGACTTTTAAAACATTTGAGACAATGATAATGGAGGAGGGTGACGCGATGCCTGACCAGATTGACATGAGCAAAGACTACGAGATAAGACCACGGGTCAGACTACCTCCAACTTACGCAACAAAAAAAGATGTCTATGACAACATCAAACGACGGTTGCAGAAATAGGATATAGACTGCTGCTCTTTGCAAGTCTTTGGGAGTATATGGTGTGACTTCTTCTGGCATGTTCACCTTGCTAGGTCGACAGACTACGCTAGATGCAAACTGCACAAAACAAATAGGCCTGATTGAAGGGGCCAAGCCAGATGCGAGGCGCAGTCTTGTTGCAAAACTGAATTGCCATAGACTGTTGCAAGAGGCGCATCGGAAGCACTATGACATATGGTCGGCCGAATCTAGGTTCATGAGAGAAAAAAGCTTGTGCATCATAATTGATGGTATAGACCAAGCAAAAACTCTCATTCCTCACACAGCTAGGAACTGCACATCAAAGGCAATGGATAACCACACAATGATGAAAACAAACCTCACGGGCATTCTCGTGCATGGGAGGAGTCCGCACATTCTTGTGCACACATGGTTTCCTTTGTTGCCCCATGGTCCGGATTCGATTTTGTCTTCGATCGCAAAGGTGTTGAGAGACGTGCAGAGGCAGTCGGGAGTGTTACCTTCTGTTTTCAGACTCCAAGCGGACAACTGCGGTAGTCAAAACAAAAACAGATATGTGTTCGCGTACCTAGCATTATTGGTGAAGTTCCACATTTTCAAGGTTGTTGAAATGAGATTTATGATAGTGGGTCACACGCATACGGACATCGATGTAAAGTTCAGCTTATTTGCTAGAAAACTAGCAGACGCGGATGCTTACACGATGGACGAGTGGTTCGCCGCACTTAGAAATTCCACAAAGGATGAGGTCGATTGCACGTTTATCAATGAAATGGCAGATTGGAAAGGTGCAGTTCCTCGACATGCATATTGATGGTCACTCCACTCCTCACTTGTTTAAGTTCTATATGGACGGAGACAACCCTGCGATGGTCTACAGAGAACATTGCAATGACAGTGAATGGTTGCCAGAGGGCCGAGCAATTTATTGGTTCAAGCGGGATGGATATGGGAGATGGGCGGGGCCGTCTTTTCCGTTGGAACCGTGTGGCTTGAAGTTGAACTTGGACAATTGAGACTTTGTCAAAGGTCGCCAAGGTGTGAGTGCCTTGGTCGAGGAGTGGAAAGACGAGCGGCCAGAATTCGAGAAACACGAAGATTGGAAACGTCAGTTGAAAACAAGTCGCCTAGACTACTGGGAAAAACAGTTAGATATGTTCAATAAGATGGAACAGGAAAAAAACTCACAACCCGCTCCGTTGTCAACTCCGTTCTGGCCAACACCGATGACGGTGTCGGGCGGCCGGCCACCAGCTGAGCCGTCACTTTTCGCCCAGGCGTATCCTTTTTGTTGTATTTTATTCTCTTTTTGCATGTTTGGATGCATGGGGTGCATGAGGCCTAAGGGGAAAGAAGGGATTTGGGTTTCTCTTGATTTAAACTAACGTTCGAAACAAGCAGGGGTGAAGAGGTCGAAGCAAGGTCATGAGCGGTACCAAGAGCGGACCGAAGATCCGAGGTTTGGATGTGACACACACAGCGGCCGGGGGAGAGTCAGCCGACTTTGGGGGCCAAGCTCGAGAGCCGGGCCTGATGACTTACACCTACTCAAAGATAGGGGGGGGGCAGTGAGGGGCCCGGGACTGGGCTGCACGCCACGCCTGAACTATTGCGGTCTCGCCTGGCGGAACGGGCTGCGGTGCAGAGAAAATCAAGGGAAGGACCCCAATGGGACAAAAAGGGGGAAGGCGAAACAGAAACGTCGTTGGGAAGGAGGCGGACCGGCATCGGGGATCAGCGACCGCGGGGACTAAAGAAAACAGGGGGAGAAAACATGTCTAAGGGGGTTGGTAGCTTCAACCGTCGGGGATTGACTTTGGTGGGGCCGGAGAAGCAATCCGGCCGGTGACAAAGGAAGCAGGGGATTGTAGGGGGCGAAAAAGCGGAACAGAGAAGATTACAGAATCGGTTGCAGGAGGGGGGGCACGAGCCCGGACAGTGGGCAGCCTTTGAGCAACCCCAAGGGAGCGACGGAACCACTGTAGGACCGGGATGTGTGGCTACGAGAGAGCAAGCGCTGCAATATTGGGAAAATTTGTCGGGCTACTACTGTAACAAAAAGGGGAAATCGATTGATGATACGATATGGATATACCAAGAGGAAGGGCTGGTTACGGTCAACCCAAAAACGAAGTGGCCTGTCGCATGATCACACCACTATAAGTTCCTCTTGATAACTGTCGTGAGGGTCGGTAGCCTCGAGCAGGCTGAGGAGTTCGATCTGGGATAACGAGGGGGGAATCAGGTTTGGGGGCGCGACGTGGATAAACCGAGAGGAAGGGCAGATTGGGAGCAACAAGAACAAGTGGCCTGATTACGCCACGGAAAAATCTTCTTGATAACTGTCGGTGAGGTCAACAAGTGAAACGACGCGAAGAGGGGACTGGCCTCGCGCAAGATAGGGAAACTAGGAATGGGAGAAGGCAATTCGAACACGGATCGGAGCTACGGGACAGGAGGCGGGTACAACCCGGAGCAGTCTAAGGGAGACGGGGCAAGCCGCTACAAATCAAGAGGAGGGTGCGTTAGAGGAATAGAGGGAAAGGAGGATTGAGAGAGGGAGAAGGAAAAAGGGGTGGCTGGTCAAAAAAATTGGGAGAGACGGTCGAGGAACGGGTGTGCACGCTCAATAAGTGTAAAGAGGAGAGCGGTACTTTCACAAGCGGTTCTTGATAACTGTCAAGAACGAGGAGCCGGCGGGAAATCCGATAATACGAAGCTACAAACCAGATGACGGTAAGCTGAAAATTTTGGAACTAGTAAGTGAGGGTAGAGAAAGTCGTGTGATTGGTCGAGGCACGAAGAGGGTGGATCGACACTGGCCGGGATCGGGGAAGGTAGAAAGTATAAAAAAAAAGGGAGAGTTGACTTGAGAGGGGGGCGCATGGGAGAGGAAGCACGCACGAAACGCATGCACAGATTCGTGTTCGGCGCGCCTGGCGAGCTCCAAAGTATCGCGTTCGGCACCATGAGAACGGGAGAGAGAGAGAGAGAGCGAGCACAGAATAGAGAGAGAGAGAGAGAAGGACGGAAAGAAAGGGGAGAAGCAGAGAGAGAGGGCAGCCATACCTAGCGAGAGGAAGATAGTCAGAGAAAGGGGGGTAGCCGGGCGAGGGCGAGAGTTCGAACGCACAGGACTGGAGGTGCGCTCGTGGCGCGAGAGGAGAGCGAAGGGGGGGAGGTGTCCTTTGAACGTGCATGCGTAGGTTGCCGGAACGGACTAACGCTCGACG